CTGATAGAATTACAAATTTACCGTGCATTTGACAGATGAAACAGTCCCACATTTTCTGCATCAGTCATTTCTATTTGGTTCAGCTCAGAATAAAAAATCTCTCATATTTTGCTACTAATTGAAGAATTAATATAAAAAAGATTGAACACTTGTTGCTCTGTTGGCAGAAAACAGCAATTACGATTACAGTGGACTTACACTATACAAGAATTTTTTAAAATAGAAGGGGAAGAATACATGCTGGTGACCAGGGTCTTTTTGAATCCACAGAGGATATTGCAGCTTTTATTCAGGTTGTGAGTGATCCCTGTTAAGCATCCTTGGTTCATGAAGGTCTACTCACTATATCCCTATTTAGTCGCTGCCTCATTAAGCATTTTCTAGTAGCTTGGAGTATCTCTGCTTCACTCAACACTCTTTCTCTTTCCCTTACACAACAAGACAGGCTTAAAATCCACTGTACATCCCTTTAACTGTCACACAGATCCCCTTTATCAATTTCCTATTACAAACATTAATCACTGAAAATAACTACTATTAAAAAGAGACTAAATCCATTTTCATTTCCTCCTTTTGTTATGTGTTATCTGGGAGAGTGGTTAGGCAAGCCTTACAGTGGAGTAGAAAAAGTCAAACATAGAACCTGTATGTAACTGATTTTTTGAACAGAACTGAAAAGAGAGCAATAAGCACAATATGAGCAAGCATTGAATCCACTTAAAACAAGAATCCTTAACTTTTCTTCTGCAGGAAAAAAATGAATGCTGACAATATCAAACATTTTGTTCTGGTTGCATGCAATAAAAGTAAAGCAACAAATGCCGTGCTACAAAAAACCCTTTAGAAAGAACTATTTGCTGTTAAGTTAGGAACTGTAGGATCACAGCCCAGGATGCTGTGCAGGACAGCCATGTTTCACTCTCTCCTTGGCCCACAGAGATCTGATGTACCTACATCCCTCATCAACATCACTCCCTCAGCCACAGCACCACGGAGGCATGGCTCAACTCCTCTGCCTATTATCAGCAGATCTTAAATCATTTATAGGCAAAATTATTGCTATTATCATTGCCAATAAAAAATGATGAAGATTTTCTCTTTTTATAGAGGACAGAATAAGTTTTTCACAGAGTGCCACTGGCTGGTCCAGGTGCTCTTTGTGGTGCTAATGCCTTCTATCACATTGATGGGATTGAACTCGTCTTTAAGGCCTCATGTGAAGAATCATGGCTGATAAGCCAGCATCATCAATGTCCCTTTCATTTCATACCTGCTCCTAGGAATGCCAGAACTGTGAAAAGATTCACTATCCTTTCTTTGATAAGCACTTGCTTATGAGATGTATAAATCTAGTGCTTTTTTTCCTTTTTTCCACAAGATAAAGAAGACTGAAAAAAACACAAAACGGGAATGTACAACTGTACAACTTAAAACATAAACAACAGCAGAACTCCATAAGCACACCTTCATCTTCAGTTCTGACTGGGATAAAATAGCTGTTTTGATAGTGCATTCTGGCCCCATGTCTTTAAAAATGGTGTGCCACAACTGGGTAGCATAGGGACATTGTGCTGCCTTGAAGAGGTACCCAGCACTTCGGATTAGCTCGCATAGGACACATGACTTCTCAAAGTCCTGCCAGCTAACAAAGATGTGTTAGAATTTCAGTAGGGGCCAGAAATAACAGGAGCATCATGAGTCAGGACTCAGATAGGCTGATAAGCTGGGTCAGGACACAGATGCTGAGACTTCAGCATGAGATCAGACTGAGAGGCGTATGAATCAGGAAGCAGTGAAAACATAGGCGGCATGGCAGTGTCTTTGTAACACTGAGTTGCGTGTGTACAAAGAAAACAAATCATAAACCCAAAGAAGATGAAGACCAACTTGTGATACTGCCCCTTGCTATCCAATCAGCAGCATGCAGTATTTTTGGAAAGTGTTATAAGGACATAAATATTTGTACTTTTCCCTTTAAAAATAATGTGCATCTGAACATTAAAAAAATTGATCAACTTTGCAAGATAACCTATTTCTATGGAGAAAGGATAAAGCATTAAATACTTGATATTATTTATGAATTTATAAATCAAAATAAAATTTTAAGGTTTTCTGTTAATGAAATTAAAATGATCATCAGTCTTTCCTAAGTGTCTATAGTAAATAGTCACAGTCCATTAAGACAACATGTTAGAATTGTTCATAACAGGATGCAAATGAAATAATCAAGTAATCAGGACTATTTCAACATCAATAAAGCCTCAGAGTGATTATTTTGTACAGCCATGACACAATACCTTTTTGCATACTTTCCCTGATCAGATTAAAGTGATGATGAATTCCTCGATGGCTCAAGTGTGCTCCAAGGAAAGCTAGAAGGTTGTACAGTTAACTCCCAGGGTGTAACTCTAAACCATACAACCTACTACCTCAACCCGGATGCACACAGCTTCCGACGGTGACCATAAAGTCTTCTTCACTTCTTCAGCCTTTCTTTGAAATGTGACAGCAGCCACAGGCCTATATATTTCCCATGGGGGTAGGCTTTCAGCTGTTGAAATAGTCTGCAGTTATTCCCCATTTTTTCAGATGACAAGGTATATTCTTAGACAGATTTTTCAACTAGGTAGAGATTATTTTCTATCATGTTTATAGGCATATAAACATATAATGTATGTATAATGTTTGTTTCTATGTGTGTATTTATATGTACTTATTTGATAGGAATGATGTAACTATTTTTTGAAAGAAACAACTATTTGGTCTTATTTTACAATAAAATTCAAATGTAAATGTAAATATATTTTTTTCTAGCGTAATCCCCTGTAATGTTGTATTTATTAAAAACGGCAAATAGTACACCCTACTCTTCCTCACTGAAAACATTACAATTCTCTCACATCTCTCTTTAAATTTTAATAAGATATTAAGCCAAAGGTACTTGAAGCTACAGATGACAGAACAAGTCACTTAAATTAATTTGAAGAAGAGGCAATAGACAAGAGAAGCATTCCAAAAACAATATATAGTTTTGTTTGAAATGCTCACTTGGGTCTGTTGTCAAATTCCACTGAAGTGCATGCTACATAAACTTTTGCCAGATCACCATACTGACACAGACCCATAGAAGCGAGCTTGTGCAGTGTGTTTCAACACAAGATCGGATCTACGGGTTTATGCCAATTGGCATCACTGATTAGCATTTTCCTTTTAAAGTTAGACACAGAAGACAAACAAACATAGAAAGCAACTGTGAGGACAAGTATTTGAGGGTAAAAATATTGCAGTCGTAAAGAAGGCTACTTAAAACTGCATAAATGGTGGATGCACCACTGTTTTGACTTTGGCTGGAATTAATATCCTATTGAGCACACTTCGTGTTACCCATGAACTCTCAAATCCCAACAACTGGAATTGAATCATACTACAGCACACAGCCCACAAGTCCAGAATCCAAAATTGTGTGTGGCATAATAGTGAACAATAAGGGTTTGTATTTTGTGCCTGAGCCCACATTTTGTTTTGCAACTTAAAATAAACATCACCCCACTAAATCGGAAATGCAATGAGGCACACTGGATTGCAGCTCTCATACAACGTTAAAAAGACTGCTTAGTTATTTCTTCATTCTACAGGGTATCTAAGTACTGATTGACTACAGCTTGTTGATTAAACAATGCCTATTAATCAAAGCAAAGAAGTTAATGTGTATATTTTATTCACTATCTTCCCATCAATGCTGTTCTCTAATAATAAGATTGCAGTCGAAGTAGAAAAGCAATCTTGCAAAACTTCAGGGTTAACTCCTACAACAAATGCTTTCTTCTTGTGACCAGTAAGAAGTGAAATATAAATTATCAGTCCCTAAATGTAGGATGTCCTACTGAAAAAGATCAGTAACAATCAGTAACGTAAAAAGGTGAGATACAGATGTGGCATTATAACTTACATATTTTAAAGGAAAGCATTTATAAGCACTGCATCAGAAAGCATAATATCTGACAGCAGGCATAAGAAGCTGATATAAATTTAAAAACAGGTACAATAGAACAGTCGCTTCTGATTTTAACAGCTTACAGAAATCTGTATCTGAATAAGTTTTTGATGCCTGACTTCCACTGTTTTCCACTGAAGGCCTAATTCTGTCATCATTTGTCGGGTAAAACTCCTTTTAAGAGAGCGAGCGCTGCCAATAACAAAGTTTTTGAATCAGGCCAATGCTTCACTTTCTTGCAAACTGTAACATGTATTTCTGCTTCAGTAATGACAGCTGAACATTACTAAATGGCCCTTTTATTTTTTAATTTAGTTGATTTAATGCTACATTTTCCAGTATGCTCTTGTGCATTTTAAAAATAGTGTCAACTCCTTTTTATTCTAGAGCAGTATGTTTTAAACCTGCTTTCACATCATACACAACGCTTCAGCATTCAAAAGGAAAGACGTTTTTGTAATTATTTTCTGCTGATGCTTGAGAGAATAAGTAAGGCAAACCTCAAAGTAAAACATTTCTCCTAGTATCAGAAATAAGTATGTAGACTGCATATTTAATTTACTGAATGATTCTAGTAAGTGCTATAAAATGGCTTCTCTATTTTTCTTTTTTCTTATTTGTAAATAGAAGAGGCATTCCACATTTCACAAGCACTTGATCTAGTATACTCATTTACTAGTAAATGTACTTGTTCAATAAATATACTAGTAATATAAATATAGCAGTACATGTATTTGTGAAGCATATTTACTAGGCATAACAAGAGAATAACTTGTATTTTGATCTTTCAATCTATTCCAAAGCTTCATGGAAACAATAACTATAAGGGCTACCCAAACTGCAATAATCCCAACAGAAAGTAATCACGGCAAAGGTTTTATATGTATCTATAAAATGATATTTGTAGGAAGGAAAGGAAGGAAATTCTATTAAAGCTAATCTGCTTCATGTTATTGTCATGAACTTTAATTTATAACAGGAAAATTATTTAAGATCACTGTATTACCTTTGCTGGATTCTGCTCTGGTACAATTAACTTCTTCAGTTTCCTTTTTCTTGTGAAATGTTTTCTTTCACTAAAATGAATGAGAGAGAAAGATTTTGAAATAACTGTTCTGTGGAAAGTGTTTCCAGAACAACAGGAAGCCTACAAAAAAATTAGAAATTATGCCTTTAATACATAAAACTGACACACTGCTGACGCCCCTCTCAGGGCCATGGGAAGACATGCTGTCAACACATACACTTAGACAAACGGACGATTTCATTTAGCATTTCCTAATCCTATTACACCTCACAAATATTTTATCTTTAAGAGGAATACCAGAAGAGAGGAATGCTTCACAAAAATGAAGAGTTTTTATCAAATGGTGAATACAACAAGATAGTTTGGTACGGAACTGCACACAAAGGCTATGGCTTAAATCATGAAATCTTGCAAAACTTAAGGGAATAAATACTATCAATATCATGAACTATAGAAATTTTTAAAAGTTCTTTTAAGCAAATGAAAGCATAGGCTTCTCAACAGATATAGACAGTAATGACACAGAATTAATCCAAAAAACACGACTCGGGAGGAAAGTATCACCATAAATATAAGGAACGCTTTCTTGTACAAAATGGGTGAATGGAGGTATATGTGTCATATACATAAGATCTCCATCCACAGTTTCCCAGAATTCATTGCAGAACAACAAAAATATAAGGTAGCAAAATTAGCATCAGATCTTTGGACTTATTATCTAAGCACTAATGCATAAAAAGCAAAGTATTAAAAAGCAATTCTATTTTGTGAAGCCACAATATATTTGAAGCCTTTTCATTAGACAAGCATCTATCACGAACATATTGATAAATACGTCAGAGTTTCTGATGAAAAAGACATTGCAAGTTTCAAAGTAATTTCTAGCTGAAGATTTCTGTATTTTAAATATAAATTTAAAAGACCAGGAAAATAAAGAAAGAAAGAATCCCAAACAGATAAAAGACTGATTTGACTGAGTATTTTAAAATACGTCAGTCAAGCTGAATTTTGCTACAGACTGCTCTAACTGCCAAGTAATATGTTACAAAAGACAGACAAATGTTGTAACAAACAGGGTCTACTGCTAAAGCGTCATATGCTCCAAACTTGCTTTAACTTCACATGCAGTTATCACAAACACTCTGAATGGATATCTTAAATACTGTTTTCAGCTATTCCTGGACAAATGCCGCTTTACCGAACATCTTAAAATAGTCACTGTTACTAGCTGCAAGCCAGTCTTACTTCATGAACGTCCCAATAATGTGCCTTTTATTCCAGGGCTTATTACAGTGATTTCTTTGTAGTGGATTTATATACAAAATGGTAAGGAACTCATATACAAATTAACTCAAACATAAATTTAATATACTCGATACAAGAGCGAGCCTTTCCTACCGGTTAGCAAAATTTTTTCTTCCTCTCTTTAGAAACCGAAAGCATGAGTCACACTATAAAAAAAGAATTTACTTTCCTTAGCAACCAGATCGAAATACCCACAACTTTCGTAGCAAGAACCACAGCTTATACTGAATAAATGTAACATTACAATCTTTGCTTAACTCCAGTGCTTAGCTATGATAAAATGTGCCTAAGCGCTTATTTCCACAGAACCTCAATTTTTGTTTACTTTCTATTTTTAGCAGCATTAGCTTAAACACAGCCCCAAAAAGTTAGTTTTAAAAAAGTGTGAATGGCTATGTTAAAATTAATATACAAGGACTCAGTTTCAAAACAACGTTTAAAATGGAACAAAAAAAAAGAAAAAAAAGGAAAAGAAGCTATACCTGATATGAAAGGTACGTTTTCACCCAGTGCCAAATTTTGCTATATTAGCAATAGCAAAACAAACAAACAAAAAAATTGCCTTCTTTCTCTTTTGTTTTTACTGAAAGAATCAATCTCCTGGGCTCATTTTGCTACACTGCTTTAAGAAGCTCTAACACATCCTGATGTCTCTGCAGTGAAACATGCCAGGTTTTTTTTTGGAAGCAGGAGAGCCACTTTTTTTTTTCTGCACTCTTGTATGTAGGACAAACTCAGATTTGTTTCTTCTTCTGAGGGCTCCTGTTATTTCTCGGAAGAAGACCAGGATGCCTGTCTTCTCTCTCGCTCTTCTCGGAATTCCAGGCACAAAGCACTGCGCAAAAGCTGCACCAATCCTTGCCGCCACCGCCTGCACAGTGCGAGAGGTGGGGAGAGACCAGAAAATTCACCTCGCCCCTGTGCCGGTTTTATAAATGGGGATTGCACAAATCTGCCGAAGCAAAGGGGTGAAAAGGCAGGGTGCCAGTTTGCTACACTATGCTGCAATGAGCTCATGTTCAATGCTGTCGCCCCATTTGCCCAGTTCAAACGCCTGTTCATTAAACACGGGGAGGAAAAAAAAAAAAAAAAAGGAAAAAAAAAAACAAATCACTTTTATCCTTCAGACACTCAGGAGGGCTGTTCTGAACTACAGATCAGCAATAAAAAAATACAACATGTAGTTTAAAAATGCAGTTATGAAGTCTAAATATTCTGCTTATATTTTCTTTCTTTCTTTCTTTCTTTCTTTTTTCTATTTGGAGATAAGAAGCAGAATTTATCAGGCGTGAAAGGGACAGCCTCCTGGTGGTGTGCCAAAAAAGCCAGAATAAAGGCAAAGTTGTGCTTCAAAGCTCAATCGCTTGCTGAGTCTGGCTAAAGTCAAGTATTAAGATCCACCATTTTCTGAGCCATGTAAGAAATGAGGAAAAAAGTCAGAACGAGTGCTGCTCTCCAAGTCTCCGTTGGCACCATCACAAAATCTCAGCCGTAAGGTCACATGATGCTCTGCCAAATGTGGAGTGCATTCCCATAAACCATTCTGCTGATACTGCGAAGGCAGCTATTGTCTAGTTTAGACCCAAAGTTCAGCCCACTCTTCATTGAATTAGATGAAAAACGCATCACCTTTGGGGGTTGGGAGCCATGGAAACGTCTACCTGGCAGGCTGCCCACTTTTGCTGCCCATCAACCAGAGATGGGATTGTGCTGCCTAATGTAATGATGACTAGGAATGTGAAGAGTCGTCCAAAGTGAATCTGATTCTCGCAAAGCCTGCTTCATTTGCACAGCAAACTCTGGCTTCTTGTCGTTAAAAAGGGGAGGGAAAGGAAAATAAAAAAAGGCTTTACACTAAATGTAGCAATTAAAGGTCTAGTAAACATGCCTCGTCTGCAACTTTCCTTCATAACATGATGAAATGGTTCCCGAACTAAAGGACTTGGTGCAATGCAAGTTTTTGTGATTTAAAGCAGCTTGTGCTTTTCCTGAGTTACTGTGGCGTCCCCAGGATGTTTTTTTTCTGCTTAAGAAAAACACATAAGAGAGCTCCCATTTCTTCTCTTCTTTTTTACCTCCCTTTATTACCTCCTGATTTTATCTAGCACAAATTATACACGTGTGCAGCAATACCCACTAGTAACGATGGGGAAGCAATATTGCTGCAATCCTTCTGAAAGCAGTCTCCTGAGAAAGCTGGTCATGTCTCCAGCAGCACAGACCCTTTCATCTGAGCCCTCTTGTCACCCGTGAGTAGGACAGCTGTTCCACAAGTTTGCAAACCAGCATGTCCAGACCATTCAGCACCCTCCCATCTTCAAAATGCATTTAATCTCGTTTTCTTGAAAAGATGCAATCAGACGAGAATGCAAAGAAGACACAAGTTATTTAAAATAGATTAAGACTACTACTAATTCTTAGTAACAGACTTGGAATTTCAGACTTGAAATTTCAATTTTGCCCATCTATTGTTCCAGTATAAAATGTCACACAAAATGTCAATTCCAAATGAAAACACCATGCAAAATATTGAGCAATAAATACACACACTGCCAGCACGTAAAAAGTTACGTAGGAGAATTTATCTTGGGGCTGTGCTGTGAACAAATGAAAAAGGTCCACTCGGTGCTTCTACATCACAAAGTTTCAAAGCTACTGCAAAAGAGATGTTAAAAATGAGGTAATTTCTATGGTCCCCACACTAATAAACATGGAGCCATGGGAGAAGCTGCTCTGCATTAGCATCTGCAGGCAGTCGCACAAGCGCTGCTGTGAGGAGGAGGTTGCATGCTAAAGACTTTATGACCAGAAATTAAGGAATGGCAAAAACAAAATGGAAGACAACAGGCTGGAAACTGCAGCAGAAGGATAGGAAAAACCATTCCAAGGATACCATAGGCAGTAGTCACTAGCTCTGCTCCCTTTCTGCTTTTCAGTGCTTCTTTCTGATTTCATTGTATTACCTGGAGCAAATCAAAGGACAGACATATGAGATAGGGTGCCTTGAAGTGGAGGAAAATGACTCTTGCAGGCTCTTACAGTTCCACACAGATTGCCCACACCTCTGTCTGGGTGGCTTTTTGTGGAAAGCAGGCATGGCAGGGAGGAGGAGGGCATGCAGTGCAGTCTCTGGATGGAGAAGGGCAAGGTGGACTGGGTGGAAGTGTTAGGGAACAAAGGGAGGAAAGCAGCCTACTTCTCCTGCCAGATCAGTGCTCCTGAGAAGGCTTCCTCCACCTGATGGTTTTCTTACTGATTTATTTGAGTCAACAAACCAAACAAGATTTTTTTTCTTCTAGCAGGGCACAGGGGAATAAAGCTCATCTTGCTCCATATCACATTTTATTATTGTTCATAAAATTGTTTAGACCAAAATAATTAATTGTCTTCAAACAGGCCTCAGAAGTTGCACTCAAAAATGTGTAACCTCCAAACCTGCTTGGCCTTAAACCAAGGTGACAGGAAGGGTTCCTTTAGAACTGAGTAGAAATCTCCAACTGAACCAGAATGAATACATAATCTATTCAAATTTATCCCTATCATTATCAGTGATGGTATTTAAAAGAACAAGGAAACAGCTCATATTTCAGATTTCTGAAGGATGCTTGCCACTCTTACCACCAGAAATAATGCTCAGCAGTGTTTGAGGGGTGACAGGCATGGAAATCTGCAGTCACTGCAGTGTGGAAAAACACTTCAACATGTAGCTTGCGCTCCACAATGGAGCACTCCCGTCTAAAAAGC